ATCAACAGCCAAGACCTAGAGACTATAAAACCCAGCTCCTGGAAGCGTGTGGCCACATTTGTGGCCGCACAACATCTTATTATCTAGTTCTTACTCTGGAGAACCTGACAGGCTACGAAAAGTATCCTGCCCACATGGCAAAGTCTGGCAAACTCCTGTGGCGTATTCAATATGCCAAAAACCAGTAACAATGATGGGTCTCATTCTCCTGACCCTGAAAGAACCTCGAATGTGGCACTTTCTAAAATCTCAGGGTTAGGATGAAGGAGATGTTACCGGTGCCTGCTCGAGGCAATCAATGAACAACAGGATGATAGTGATACAGTGATAGTGATTGTGCTATGGGGACCTGGGCATAACTAGGTGCTTCCCCAAATGCTTAGAGGGTGGGCTGGAGACCAAGGCTGCAAGACGGAACGTGAAGAGATTACCTTGAAATGGGCTACTGAGTGAGACTGGAATAGGCACATAGGGAGAATGAAACAAATGGCAACTGATCACCAACCAGCCTGGCTCCCATTTTATTCTCCTTTTATCCATTGCTGTCGGCTATCTGGGGTGGAAAAATGGCCTAACCACCGAATGCAGAGAGAGAGAGAGAGAGAGACCGAATGCAGAGAGAGAGAGAGAGAGAGAGAGAGAGAGAGAGAGAGAGAGAGAGATAGTGCCTCCATTTGTTTTGTGATTACACAAGTAGTCACTCCTGGCAGTACTGGGAGAAACCATATAGGATGTCAGGGATTGAACCCAGGTTGGTGGTGTGCAAGGCAAACAGCCCACCCACTGTATTATTTCCCTTCTCCCACTTCAATAACATTGTAGAGATTGTAACAGAAGATGTAAAACGGCATTTGGTTCATTCCAGGAATTTTCCCAGGAAAAAACACAGTGGTGCTCAGGAGCATCTTAGAAGGGCAAGTGTTGAACCCAGGTTACAGATGAGAACATCTGTAAGCTCTGGGGCTTACCTGAGCAAAGCAGGGGCCCAGCTGGATGGGCTGAAAGCACAGGCTGGCCCAAAGGTACAGCCCCAGAGACCCCAACAAGCAGAATCAACCCAGCCAGAGGCAGGTTAGTTTAACCAATCACAGCCAAGAGGAACCATGGGAGATGCGACAGCTACTCGAAAGGTAGCATAAGAGGGAAGATTCTAGAATAGGAAAAGAACATTGGGCAAAAACTAAAGAGATAGCCCCAGGGACAGACTTGTTAAGAATAGTGTATTGATATATCAGTTCATTGTTGAAAATACACCATACTAAGGTATGTCTGTGTTTGGGTGGGTGGGTGGGGAGGGGTTGGGTTTGGGAGCTACACCCAGCAGTGCTCAGGAAACCATATGTGGGAATCCAACTTAGGGTCAGCCACAAGCACACCTTATTTTGAGTATTTTAGGTATTCTATTTCCTGTCCACTTTTCTAGCTTCTGTCTTTGTTTTATCTATTATTAGCCACTCCCAGTGGTAGTGCTTTGGGGACTGGGGATCAAACCCAGGAGTCCCCACGTACAAAACATGTTCTTCAGCCCTTTGAGCTGAAGGCCTGTGTGAGTCTATCTTGAGAGTCTGTCTCTTAAACTATAATTAACACCATGGAAAGCATCTGATGGCCAAGAGAAAAAGCACACTTTTAGTGTGACTTAGAATCCTTTGAAAAGCATTGATTGCAAACAAGCCTGGAGAAACTAAACTATCAAGTTGCTTATTTCCTGGTTCCAGGTATTTGGCAGCCACATCATCTGCTATTTCTTTTTTCCTTTGCTTTGGGATCACACCTGGAGATGCTCAAGGGTTATTACTCCTGGATCTGTGCTCAGGGACCACTCCTGGCAGTGTTTGGGGGACCATATGGGATGCCGGAGATCAAACCCAGGTTGGCTGTGTGCGAGGCATTACCCACTATAAGATTGCTCCGGCCCAGAGGTGTTATTTCTTCTATTATTTGTTATTTATTATTCTTGTTATTTGTTATTCTTCTGCTGTTATTTTACGTTGCTGCTTCTTTGTTAAGATTGGGACCAGACATTCCTGTCCTCAGCGGCTGTTCATGCTCCATGAATTGTTGAAGGTACACTCGCTATGTACCTTCTCTTCTGAGACTTATCCCAGCCCAGTTCTGATAATCCTGACTGATTCTGTCATTCCGTGTCTCGAAAACAGCACTGGAAGAATGGCCCACCAGCTCTGCACTGACCACTCTCAACTGCTCTGCCACAGTGACTTGCTCCTTCGTAAAATTGAAACCAAGAATTCAAGGAGGTGAGCTTCCTGCTAGGATACACGTGAATAAAATCACCTCACTTAAGGGACATAGAAAGCAACCTTGTCCCATTAGCATGGCATTTAAAGTGGCAAGTTGCGCAGCGGACTGAATAAGTTGGCTTGTTTTTGGTTTTGCAAGCACACCCGGAGATGCTCAGTGCTTATTCTGCCCCCCAAATGAGCATGTTTCAAATACATTGAGATCTAAAACATAAAGATGATTACATTCTAAAACAGTCATGATAAAGAGCCCATCAAAAGGCGGAATAGGAGACTGGAGAAGTGCCAGGGCTAAGGCACATGCTGTGTCTATGGCTAATCCCTGTCCAACCCAGCAATACCAGGTGTAGGCACCAGAAAATAATGGAAAGGATGGAGATAGGTGAGGAAATAAGGTACTTGCCTTGAACACACCTGTCCTGGTTCAATCCCTGGCACATTTGTTCCCCAATCATTACCAGGCATGACCCGTTAGCACAGAGCCAGGAGTATTCCCTGAGTCAGTACAGACCCCCAAAAAAGATAAAAAAAAAAAAAACCTCATTGGTTTTGTGTCTACTTTTCATGTTCTTGGGTCTTGAAAGCAGACCAAATATTACAACTGAAAAGGTGTATAACCTAAGGACTTATTTGCGTTAAAAAATAAAAAGGGGACCTGAAACTAAAATGTTCTGTCAATGATCTATTAACGAAAACGGCTGGGATACTAAGTGCCTTGGCATTACCTCCAATGCCAGAAGTTAACTCACATTTGGACAACTCCAGGACATCAATGAATGATGGGTATTTGGATAAACAATGCCTCAGAGGTGTACAATTCAGGGTGGGGAGCAGGAGGCACTGTCTTAACATCCAGTTGGTGGTACCCCTGGGGATGTACATGACAGATTTCAGGGAAACCAAATAGAACGCTTGGTTGTAGACCTTACACTTATAGTGGTATCATTCATATTTGAGTCACTTTTGGGGGGGTCACACCCAGCAATGCACAGGGGTTCCTCCTGACTCTGCATTCAGGAATTACTCCTGGCAGTGCTTGGGGAACATATGGGATGTTGGGAATCGAACCCAGGTCGGCCACATGCAAAGCAAATGCCCTACCTGCTGTGCTATTGCTCCAGCCCCGAGTCACCTTTGAACAGACTTCTAGCAGTAGGAAGGGGATTTCCTGTTCCATTTCCTCTAATTTTCAAGATAACTGTATAAGAAGTGATAGCAATAAATGATCATTAACCATGCCAGTAATGTTTTAGTCATTTCTGTGTTCTCAGCACATACAAGAATGCTTAACAATTCATAACTTGTCAAATTAGTAAATCAATAAGGAACCATTAAGGGCCATGTTTTTAGGTGAATGGTAAGACATGCACATTTCTGAACCATCACACTGCAGTAAACAGAAAAAACTGCAGACAATAATATCTGGAGAAAAACTGCTTGACCTCATTCACGTGTGATAAACATAGCAACGAGCAGATGGAATAGACAATGAAATTATCCCTTTGATTCTGAGGACAAAATCTGAGATTACCAGAGAGGAAGGATGAGGGCTGAAAATGTCCTATGGACAGTTGTAGAGGCTATTGGTATCTTGGTGGTAGATATGGTGTGTTGGCATTGTACCCCTAAGATAAACATTTACACTTTAATATATTTTTTAAAAAAATTTTAATTCCTACAGAGGGCCAGGGTGATCTGGAAAGCAGCAAGTAAGGGATGAGGTCAACTAAGTGTGTAGGGTTACGGCAGCAAAATAATTAAAATGCATTCCTTTGTGAACCTGATAATAAAGGGGTGAAGGCACTCACCTTGCATGTGGCTGACTTTGGTTTGATCCTGAGTACCTCATAGTCCCCCCTAGCACCACCAGGAGTCATGCCCAAGCACAGAGCGATAAGTAAATTCTGAGCATAGCCAAGTGAGCCCCCACCAAAACACAAAAAACTACATCCCTCTGGTGGCAAATCAAAATAATTGTTATCACCCGCATTGTTTTCTTTTACATCATAGGATTATAAAATGTTAATAGCGAAAATGAGGTGGTAGAGATAGCACCCTTGCCCTGGGCCGACACAGGTTCAATTGCTGGCACCCCACTTCTACCAGGAGTGATCCCTATGCACAGAACTGGGAGTAAATCCTGAGCATCACCAGGTGTGACCCAGAAACCACAAAAATAGTAAAGATTACCCTTCTCCTAGGAGCCGAAATACATTTTTGGTTTGTTTTTAGCTTTTGGGTTACACCCGGCAGTGCTCAGGACTTACTCCTGGCTGAGCTCAGGGACCACTCCTGGTAGGGCTCAGTGGACCATTTGGGATGCCAGGGATTGAATCCAGGTTGGCTGTGTGCAAGGCAAATGCTCACCCACTGTACTACTGCCCCAGCCCAAAATACTTTTCAGAGAAGTTGGAATCTGGATAATAGCATAGGGCGAGAATTACCAACTTGCAGAGAAAATAAAGCAATGGAAACCAGTTTAAGTGCATCTCTACTCAGCAGAAAAAGTTTTATTTATGGACAAACCGACCATATCCAAAGCCTTTAACAGACAAACAGAAGGAGCCACTTAAAGCATGAGATATTAAGATCCAAGACAGACACTGGGGGGGCAGGATATATTTAAACCATCGAAAGCTTCTACCCAAGTCTGCTCCATCAACAGCTGAGCTCTGCCAAGGGCAGGGGGGTGGCTTAGGGTAAGCGCAGATCTGCAAATCAAAGGAGGACATCTGTGCTACAAGCACACGCGCATCTCAGAATGCGCTAGAAAAGGAAGTATTCACGCAGAAGGGGAGAGGGGGGACAATGGAGGCTCCTCCTAGGCATTAGGCTGCCTTGCAGAGGGCCACAGCAGAAAAGCGGACTTCCCCTTGCTCCCGCTCAGTGAATTCTCGGCACACCTTGGCAGCATCCTGCAAAGGAGAACACATAGGAGCAGTTACAAGTCAGAGTCCAAGGGGAAGCATCAGATTGTTATGCTCCAAGTTCACCCAGGTTAACTCTAAACCTCTCCTTCTTCAATTTGAAATCCAGGCCTAAGAGTGAGAGAAAAAAAAAAAAGGTATGAAGGTATGATGGTGGCGCAAACCAGGGTATGAGGCCAGATCTGATTTTATTCCTTTTATTGAATCACCATTCAGAGTCTCAGAGTCTCCTGCCCCCGCGCCTGGCTGTCTTCACTGGGGCCCCTTGGAGGGGGGAGGTTAAGTTTCTCTCTCCCCCCCTCCGCCCCGAGCAGAGCCCCAGCAGCTGAGGACCTCCGGAGCCAGCCACAGCCATGCTGGGACCACTCTCCACATGTCCGGATGGGCCTCATGCATGAAAGAACTGGCAGAGGAACCCAGGCATGCGGGTCCTGGGGCTGAGGTCTCCAAGCCTACTCGCATTGGGACTGGGCCTTCTCCACCCAGAGCCCCCATCTTCCAGTAGGTAGGCGTCACACCCACCAGCTGCCAACAGCGCCAGGTTGGTCCCATCAATGGCCAAGATGCAGAGACTATAAAACCCAGCTCCCGGAAGCGCGCGGCCACATTTGCGGCTGTGCAACATCTTATTGGAGAACCTGGCAGGCTACAAAAAGTATCCTGCCCGCACGGCAGAGTCTGGCAAACTTCCCGTGTCAATATGCCAAATACCAGTAACAATGATGGGTCTCATCCTCCTAATCCTGAAAGAGCATTGAAATGGCTCTTTTAAAATCTCAGGGCTAGGAATGAGACGTTACTGGTGCCTGCTCGAGGCAATCGATGAACAACAGGATGATCGTGATTGAATCACCATGAGATAGGTACAAAGATTTGGTCCTTTACACACTTTCAGCACACATCTCCCATCCAGACCAATTCCTTCCAGCCACCACTGTCATAACGATCTCTTCTCTATCCCAACTGCCCTCTCCCCCAGCCCTTGAGACAGGCTTCCAACCGTGAACCATTTCTCCTGACTCTTGTTTCTACTGTCCTTGGGCGTTAGTCTCATACTGTTTTTTTTATATCCCCAAAATAAGTGCAGCCATTCTATATCTGTCCCTCTCCTTCTGACTTATTTCACTTAGTATGGTACTCTTCATGTCCATCCATTTATAAGCTAATTTCATGACTCCATGTTTCCTAACAGCTGGAAAGCGGATCTGATTTTTGATGCTTAGACTCTCACTTTCCCTAAGGCTCTGTGCAGCTTCCCTGGTTTCATGCTTGGTTCTGACAACTCCACAATCAGTGCCAGTTCCTCAAATTGAGACCGGAATCTCATCTCTCCCACACCAGGGCTATGAGAAAGGATTCCCAGGCCAATCAACAGCAATTTTGTCCAAGTAAACGTGTTTACAAAACAGCTTCGACTACCTGGTTTTCTAGGACAAGACAAGTAAGCGATGCTTCCATATTTATGGTCGTTATTAATTCTAAGATCTAGATATAAGGGAGTTTTATCAAGCCAGGATTAATCCAATATTGGATTCCAATATTACTTATTGACCAAAACCTAGAGTTTAAAGTCTTGGTTTCAGTCTCAACCTTTCAAGCCATCTGAGAGTTCAATGGAATGACATATGGTCTTAAATGTTAGGTCCTTTAATAGCACTGAGGATCTGCTAAAATTAATACACACATTGTCTCAGCTCTCCAAGTTCACATCTGCTCATTACTGAGTCTGACCCTTCCACGGCATCGGAAATGAAACTTCAACCCACAGTTTCATTTCCCTTTGTAAAAAGCCACTTAGGAAACCTAAACTGGCATCTTCTATAACAGAATAGTCTATGGTGGTTTTCCAGAGGTCTTCCTTCCCACCTTCACCTTCCTTGAGGACCCAGTATTGGGATTTTCGGTTGGTTTTATTTTGGGGGTCACATGTGCTGGTGGTGCTCAGGATGCCAGATGGTGCCAGAGATTGAACCTGGAGCTCCCATTCCAATCTAGGACCCATGGTTGACTGAGAGTCCAGAAAATCACTCCTGATTAATGCAGGAGACTGAATTCATGCTAGGCAAGGACACGAGGGTTACATTCTGTAGACAGTCTCACCCACTTAACAATTCATTTAGCATACAGTTTAGACACAATCTTAAGACACCTTTAACCATATGAATTTTCTGCTGAGAGTTTTCATTAAGATGCTGACTTACATTCACTGAATTGTAAATGAGACTAATTAGAGAAGTGTGTGTGTGTGTGTGTGTGTGTGTGTGTGTGTGTGTTTGTGTGTAAGATTTACCTTCCCCATGCTTCCTAAACTCTGTTCCTGTGGTAGTTTAAGGGCAGGTCTCTATTCTGGTGTCTGGTGTTAGTGGAGTGTCAGATTTTGGACAGCACTTCAGAGCAGTGCTTCTCCATGGCTTCCAACCTCGGCCCCCTGCAAACCTGTTTCCTCCACTGGCCCCAAGACTTGTGCCAGGGACCCCCAATTACACTATATTCACCTGTGGCCCCTTGGGGCTTACAACAGGGTATAGAGTTGGTGTATAACTGAGAAACAATATGTAAAAGCTTAAAAGGACAAATCTTTCCAAGTAGGTTTTTTATGGGGGGGGGGTGTTTAAGTGATTTTATTTGGGGGCCACACTCAGCAATGCTCAAGGGTTATTCCTGGCTCTGTGTTCAGGAATCCATTCCTGACAGTACTTAGGGGACCATATGGTATGCAAACAAGCACCCTACCCTCTGTACTATCACTCTGGGCCCCCATGCTTTGTTCTGAGGCCTCACCTAGCAGTACTCAGGAGACCCTATGTGATGTCCACCTTCAAACCAGAATCAGTAGGATATAAAGCACCTTTACCCCCACCCACCTCTCTGGCCCTCCACCACCTAAGTCTTGACTAAAAACTGCCTACGCGTTTTGGAGAGGGAGAAGGGGCAACCATGAGGCAACATCTCCAGGTGATACTCAGCCCAGCTGTGGTGTTTGTGGTGCCATATACTCAAGCCATATGTGATGCTGGGGTCACCAGGATGACACCTAGGCAGTGACGAGGCCTGGGGTCTTATGCATGCCTGGGATGCCCTTGAACCCTCTGCACTGTCTCTGACACTTCGCCTCTATTCTTGTTCCTCTAGCTCGCATGAAAATCTCTTCCCTCCTATTTTCCGAAGTTCCTTTTGCACACCCTATTACCACTCGCCTACATACACCTTCAGCATCAAGAACCAGCTTTCACCCTTTCTCAAGTGTCCTGGCAGCAGGTAGAGAAAGTCCCCCTCTTGGGGATGGAGTGATAGCACAGCAGGTAGGGTGTTTGCCTTGCATGTGGCCGACCCAGGTTCAATTCCTAGTATCCCATATGGTCCCCTGAGAACCGCCAGGGATAATTCCTGAGTGCAGAGCCAGGAGTAACTCCTGTTGCATCGCCAGATGTGACCCAAAAAGGAAAAAAAAGTCCCCCTCTGAGAGAGGCATTACTGGGTCCCCTAGCACCTGGAGCTCAGTGGGTCTCTGAGGGTCTACAGACAAGACTATTGTCAATAGGGGCTGGAGAGGTAGAACAATGGGGAGGGAGCTTGCCTTGCATGTGGCCAACCTGGGCCAGAACCCTGAGCACTGCCAGGAATGATTCCTGAGTGCAGAGCCAGGATTAACCCCTGAGCATTGCTAGGTGTGACCCCCGCAAAACAAAGACTAACCACAAAGGGAGCACGGGGCAGCAGCAGACAGCACACTCTCCAGACACAGAGTAGATCTGAGCCAGAGTTCTACCAGCCTCAGGCACCACTTAGCCTAAGCTCCTCCATTTCCTCATCTGCAAAAATGTGAGTAACAGCTACCTGGTAATACCCTTAGAAGGCTCCTATAAAAAAACATAACAGAGCGAGCCCTGTATCGCAAAGCATAATGCCCAAAAGCAGAAAGGAAAGTGCCTGCCATAGAGGGGTGGAGGTAGCGGGAAGGATACTGGGAACGTTGGTGTTGGGAAAGGTACACTAGTGGAGGATGGGTGTTCGATCACTGTATGACTAAATCTCAATCATGAAAGCTTTGTAACTGTATTTCATGGTGATTCAACTAAAAAACTAAAAAAGGTTGTACCTACCACAGAGGCAGGGGGTGGGGTGGGGTGGGGGTGGCAGGTGGGACACTGGGAACAATGGTGGTGGAAAATGTGCACTGGTGGAGGGATGGGTACTCAAGCACTGTTTGAAATGCAACCATGCAAGTAACTGAATCTCACGGTGAGCCAATAAAAATTTTTAAAAAATCATAACAAAGAGTGGCCAAAGAGATTGCGCAGTGGGTACGGGGCTTGCTTGCCTTGCATGCCATTGACCTGGAGGTGTCCCCAGCACCGCATCTGGTTCCCTGAGCACTGCCAGAAGTGATTCCTGAGCACAGGCAGGTATGATTCCCCCCCCCCCCCCCATATATATATATAAATGACAACCAATAAAGACTGACCATCTGTAGTCTGTGGGCCAAATCCAGCCTGCTGCCTGGCTTAGGGGACCAATCTGGGGAAGGGGCGGGGAACATAGCCCTTCACTCACTATCCCAGGATCTGTGGTTGCTCTGTTGTGGTCACTGTGGTAGTAAATACTTGCAGCAGAGCCTGATATCACAAAGCCCAAAGTATTTCCTTTTTGGCTTTGTCCAGAGAAACCTCGCATCCAAATTCTGGAATGTGTGCAAGGCAAGCACCTTACCCCACTATACTATTTCTCTGGCCACCCGGACCTCCTAAGATGAAAAGGCCTTAAGCTATGGATTCACAGTCAGCCGTGTGCCCAACTCCCCTCCAGAACTGAGAGGGTTCTCTTATCGCTCATGGCTGGATGTTTACGGGGCTGAGCCTGGGTCTCAAAGTCAATGTTTGCTAAAATGTAATCTTCCCTCATCCTCAAGTAGATTATGGAAAAGAAATTCCTAAAAGCAAATGACCTACCAGAATCGAAGAATCTAACCAGAATCCAGGGCATGCTTCCTGGAGACTGACCCAAATCCAGCAGGCTTATCGGGATTAGGGCGGGCTGGGGTTGCTGACTCACTCTTCAGCTATGATGTGATCTGACAAGGGAACCACCGCCACCTTAATCCCACAGGCGAGTAAAGTGATGCCTTTGGGGCTCAGTCCAAGCTCAGTCTAAGGATGCACACGCTACAGATTAGCCAGGCAACTCCAAAGGCATCTGCCTAAAACTGTTTGCTCTGAATTAAGGAAGACAGAATTACTCCTCAAACCTTGAAGACTGCTATTAACTCTGGTGGCTGCTGCTGGCAGCTGTGTTACTAGCACCCAAGTATAAACCATGTAAGGAAGAGAGAGCACAGGTGGTTAGGCATCTGCCTCGCTTGCAGCTGTGCCACTGCGACTCTGGTGCTACTCCCCATCACCACACATGGCCTCTCGAGCACCACCAGGGGTGACTCTAGATACAGAACCAGGAACAGCCCCTGAGCACCAGGTGTAGCCCCCAAATCCAAACATAATAAAAGGGACCAGAGGAATACTTTGGGGTTTTGGGGTTAAGGTGCTTTGCACTTGGCCCACCCTGGTTGGGCTTATCCTGGAATCACAGAGGGTTCCCGGAACACCTGCACAGTAATCCCCAAGTACCACCAGATACGGCCCAGAAACCAAAAGACAGTTTAGCGAAAGAAAGGTTGCCAGAGGTTACCCGCAGTAGTGAGTCCGCCGAGCTGGATCCATGGTTCACGGGGAAGGGCATCCGGCCATCTAGAATGAAACAGCAGGTTATTCGTATTGCAAACCATAATGCCCAAAAGGAGAGAGAGTATGGGGGAAACAGTCTGCCATGGAGGCAGGGAGAGGGTGGGAAAGGGGGTGTGTATACTAGGGAGACTGGTGGTGGGGAATGTGCACAGGTTGGGGGAATGGGTGTCTGATCATTGCATGATTCTAACTCAAACATGAAAGCTTGTATCTCACAGTGATTCAACAAAAGAAAGAAAAGAACAGGTATTCAACGTTCTGGGCCTTTCCTGGCCACTGCATCTGCTCTGCCCACAGGCCAGTATCTGGTTCTTCCAAACATCACTGACTCATGCACAAAGGGCGGGTTGGTGGTGAGCAACGGTGTGTGTGTGGGGGCAGGGGGGGGGACTGAGGCAGCACCGCTCCCCCTGGTCCATCCCAGGCAACTCCCACAACTCGATCACAACAGTCTGATCCATCAGGAGACTCGATTAATAAGGAATGTGTGTTTAGATTCTTGCTGATGGGCTCACGCCTGTCTCTTAGGGAGAACCACAGCAGAAGACAAGAGTCTCTGGGGTACCAGAAAAATGGGAAGCAAGAAGAATCTTAAGATATCATTTGCCACAGAGCCTGCCCAAAGTCTCCTCTGCCCTGGTGTGTCCACAGGTGCTGTCAACTACAATCTCTATTGTCCTGTATCAATTAACATAAACTATGCCACGCGTCCAAACCCTTCTTACATAAGCATGGGAACATTCAAGCACTGCTCTCTCCTAATGTGCTCCTGGAATGGAACCTGGAATATGATACTATAGGAAAAGGTGGAAAGAAAAATCTAAACACACATTCCTTACTGAGTCTCCCGATGGTTTGTGGCTAAACCATCCCTCAATGGATCAGATCAGCTGGCTCAGGTTTAGCGAGATAAAGGGCTGAGTGCCACAAGAAAACCTTGTTATGACTTCTTATACACAGTCACATCCTGTTACTGAGAAGAGAAATCAAGTCAGAATGCATGAGACCACACAAGTCCCCAACTGGAGAGTCACTCACCAAGTTCATAGAGGTGGCCGTCCACATTGTTAAACAGAATGAAATGAAAATTCACTTTGTCATCTACCTAAAGAGAGAAAAGATTTTGGGGGAGGAGAGGTGAATATTTTATAAGCGGCATTCAAACTATTAACAACTTTCATCATTCAAGGGCATCTGCTGGAACCAATTTCCTTGTACTGACATTGGTACTTCAATAGGAACTGGACCTACATGAGTCCACAAACTTATCAAATGACTCATCATTGAATCAGATGACATGACCTTACAGTACCAATAAATGCAGTCCCGTAAGTGTCTATTTCCTTCCTATTTTTTTCTTTATTGGTGGGAGGGGAGCCCTCTCCTGTGCCCAGACACCCACCTGCGATTCTCTCCCACCAGACCAGTGGTTCAATGTGAGGGCCCAAGGATAGGAGGCCACCCGGGCCCCCACCACCACCATTTGTTTTAGTTTGTTTTATTGCATGGACACAACAGTAATACCAAACACCCAAAACACATGTTCAATGTCAACAGTAACACTTCAAAAACAAAGACAGCCAACAGCAAGGTATGGATTCATTGAGATTTGGTACCCTCCAAACACCTACTCAAGATCCGTATTGTATGGGAAGCACTCACCACCGGGCGGTTCAAAACTCACATGTATATAGTGAATTATGCTAATATTTGTATAGATCCTACATAGAGGCCCCATCCTAAGACTACTAAGGTGGATAAGCTGTCAAAACAGTACAATGTATTTGGGTTTTAGTTTTTTATTTTCAGTTCAGCGGCCACACCCAGTGGTGCTGGGAACTGAACCTCTCAGGCTTCCCAAATACAAAGCAGGTACTCAGCTACTAGGCCACTGAGCAGTCTCCCCTAACACTGCGTGTTTCTTTGCTGAGGAGGAAGATTAAGAACCAGATGGGTAGGCCAGACAGGGCTGAGCCAACCGTGGTTATTCAGGCCATACTGCAGTTGCTTACAGTGAATCGAAAACCTGACCCCAAGGCTGCATCCACATCACTGATGTAGCTAACCCTCCCAGACACTGTCCCCCTTGCGTGTCTATCTTACTCCCCCAACAATCTGAGATGCAGATTCTCAAAGCTCCATTACAGGGTGTCAGTCTGTTGGACTCACTGGAAACCACACAAGTCACCATCTGTTTGCGTTGTTGACTCAAGACGTCCAACCGATTCAAGGTCCGGAGAATCACTGTTCAGAAAGATCTGGTCAAAGGCAGCATCCTCTGGCCTGATTTGGTTGCAGGTGGAAAAACCACATTGGCCACGGTAAGCCTAGTTGCATGAGGCAACTTGGTTCCACCTCTGCCTGCACTTACCCGACACTGGCCCTCCTGGGCCACGGCATCATGGGCTGCCTGGATAGCCTGCAAGGAGAGAGAGCCGTGAGCCACGCACACACACCTCCTCGAGTGTATGAGAAGCAACGCCCTGTGGATTCTCTTCCTACCTCGTTCTTCTCAAAGCATTTGGCTCGGTCTTCAGGGGACAACTTCTCCGTTTCAGAAAGGAACTGTTTCAGGATGGACCCATCATCTAAAGGAAAACATCCACAAAATAAAGCTGATGGATGTGCACTGACTGCAGACTCTGGCTGTGGCACCGTATGCCAGGCAATCCTTCACACTCGAGTCCTCTGTGCAAGGAACTGTCCCTTCTTCTAGCCTCTTCTCTAGACTGGTTCCTGGACTACCTCTGGCAGGGCTTGTGGGCTACTCCTGGCATTTTGCTGGGATGCCAGGGATTAATCTGTGACTTCAGCATACAAAATGTATATTCTGCCCCTTTGAACCTTCTCATTTCCCTCACACTCCAACCTCTTATTCAGCCCCTCTTCTCTCAACTGGCCTTGGGAATGTAAGAACCCTCCATTCTAAGAGAATCCCCTCCACCTTCTGCTCGGCCCCCCGATCTCAGCACCAAAACATGCATGACACATCTGAGTTTTGTGTCTGATGCTCCCCTCCCGGCGTGCACTGAGCACTGGCGCAGACCTGGAGCATGCAGATATTCTCATCTGGTCAGGGTTCTCAAACTGCACTTTTATCTCAGGGTAGAAAACACAGCTAAGCAATACTGTGACTCACACAGAGGTAAGCATCTTAAATAGAAATGTAAGGAGTTTGACAGTCTGGCCCTCAGAGAGATGGGCTGACTGCTGGTCCTGCAGCTCTGTTAGACTCAAGCAGGAGCAACCTAGATTTCAAAAGATCTTCACTTGATGTTCAGCTCTAAAATTAGTTTAAGACTTGGAAGCATACATCTCACGTGAAGTCTTTGATCTCATCCTGTCCACATTACAAAATTCTTAGCGTATCTGCTGATCTCATGAACGCACTACCCCAGAAAAAGTGATATTTACTGCTAATAAAGGAAAAAGCTACAATGTTTGTGTTGGGAGGGAGGGGGCGGCACACTTCCAGTAGTTAGCTGGGGGACATCCCATCCAGTGCCAAGGATCGAACCCCAGCCTCCAGCATGTAAGGCATATGTCATGCTCACTGAGCCATCTCTCTGGCCCAAGCTCTATAACCTTCTCGTGTGCCTCAGTCAACCCATTTGAAAATAGGAGCAGTATAGGAATGAGTTCAGGGGGGAGAAGTGTACCTCTGGCATGGACAGGGCCCTGAGTCCAATCATGATACCACATATCTATCACCCCCGTGGTGGCACTGTGTCACCTTAGAGGCAGAGCAGTGCCAAGGATGACTAGGGCTCAAACAGCATCCGATCACCCAGCCTCAGCTGGATCATCACTGGGAGAGACCCACCCATATGTTCTGAGTAATGCTTGAACGATACACCATCACCACCACCACCCAAAATAAAAGTTTTAAATATTTGAAAATTCAAAGTGCTGGGTTAGCGTTTTCCGGAATAGGCAATACTGCCTCCAGGGCTCTGGAGTGATTTGGGGGCATGGGGCAGGGGCAGTAGGCATCTTGGGGAATGCTTTCCCTTTGCTCACTTAAAGGCAGATTTTCAAGGAGGCCCTGAGTGTTTTTTTTTTTCTTCCTGGGAAGGAGATTGTAAGGTCAAATAAATTGGGAAAACTCATCTGGATATTTATGGCTTTAGACAAGTCTTTTTGGCTTGTTTCAATGGTATACTAGGAGTCATTCAGACCATTCTTAAAGAAATGAAAATAAAGGTATTTGACCTACAACAAGGATCACTGTGGATTTGCAGCTGCAGCTACTTAATTCATGGGTACCTCCCATCAATGCCTGAATCTGGAGCTAACAAACCACCGGCAGTTGTACTTGTAAGCAAAGTTGATTGGACCGAGTCACATCCAACACTTAATAGAGTCTCTAGCGGCTTCTGAGCTACAGAGCACACAGCCTCAGAGCCTAATTACTTCTGTAGCTCAACTGGAAGGTCTGCTACAGCGGGGCTTCATAAGCACAAAGCCAGGGGCTTGAACCCAGCACCATCCACACACAAGAGCACTGTGGGTGAAATCTGACATTCACGGCCCTGGACATTCACTTCAGTGCCATTGGGCCTCCGACCCTCAGAAGGCTTGTGCTCATTTACCCCTAACTCGCCTCAGTCACCTTTTCAGATCACAAGCAGGAATTTCCTCGGCAGGAAATTCGCACACCTGGGATCCCAGCTACCTCAAGCTGCTCTGTTTCTCCTGCTTCTTAGGAGATAAAGCAGCATCCAAGACGAGTCCTGGCACGGAAAGACAACTCAAAGGGCTGAGAGCATGCTTTGCTTGCTGGAGGCATGGGTGGCATCTCAATCACACATGGTTTCCATAGCCACCACTGGTATGCCTCCCCACACCCCCCCCCCAAAAAAAAATAAAAATGAAGATGGAGAGGGCTGGAAAGATAATATAAGGATTAAGGCACTTGCCTTGCATGTGACAGACCCCAGTTCACAGCACCACATATGGTCCCTTGGGAACCACCAGGAGTGATCTCTGAGCACAGAGCCAGGGATAAGCCCTGTGTACCTCTGGGTGTAGCCCCCAAACAGAAAACAAATATGAGCATCAAGTACAGAGCTCACCGGGCTTAGCACATGATTTGCAGGCAGGAAGGCAGTCCAGGCTTGCTCCCTAGCACCACAGGGAGAGCCAGACGCTAAGCATTGCCAGGTGTGGCCCCAAAACTTAATTGAAATGAGCTCTAACTTATTAAAATCATTGAGACTTAAGCCATAAAGGAGAAACATTGTAATAATTAACCCTCGGGGCTTCCAAATCAGCCTCCAGTCTGGATGTGTTTCTGGAAAGATCGTCCTTCTCTCTAGGGGCAACCGGAACTCACCCCCTGATTCTACCTGGATAAGGTTAAGGCAAGGATGATGCCATTAGATCTTGTTTAGGGGGAGGAGAGTGGGCTGGTATTAGAACCAGGTGGACGGCAACCCCGAAGCCAGTTTTCTCCAAACCCCACACTCACTGAACTCCAGCTTGTCTTGGTTATTGGCCACAGCATGGATCAGCCCGATGGTCCCACAGGAGTTGCCGATGGTCTGCTTCATGAAGTATACTTTGGGGCTTACTGCTTGTCCCTTCAGCTCTTCAATCTGCTTTTTCCTGAAGTTCTCATGCTGGGACAGGAAACACATTTTTTCTATCTCAAGATGAAAATGCCAAGAACAGATGGTGGGACAGCCAGTTCTACCAGTGCAAGTGAAATGCAAGTGGGATGTGAGACTGGGAACCGGGGTTCGGTTCCTGCAGCTGGCCGGTGCCCAAAGAGTGGCCTGTATGCATCCCACACCCACGCCAGCCCATGGGCTCCAGAGGACAGGAGAATCCACCCCATGCTGCTGTGGCAGTGCAGAGCCGCCCTTGGAGAGCGCCCAAGGCTTTGTCTAGACACCACTGCAACTTTGGAGCTCAAAAAGGACTGTGTCACTGGGCCAGAGGAACGAGGCAAGCTCAAGCTCCTCTTCTTCAGCTCTGACTGTTCCACAAGGACACCTTGCATCGCATGCACAGCCCACAAGAACATTCGCCAGCAGACCTCACTGTTTCAAATTCTGCTCAGTTCAAGCACAACCCAAACCAACCACAATTTATTCCAAGGAGCATTATTAAAAATGTTCACTGTGTGCTCTCTCCCCTTCTTAAACAAGAACAGCTGGCTTAGAGGGTGTGCTGGGACCTTACAATTCCACAGGAGGAAGAATATTAGTTCTGACCAGCCAAAGAGTTGAGCTCATGATTAACGCCTCTGTAGGCCAGCTAAGAAATCAACTAGGCACAGTTTGACTCACTGCATCAACAGCTCTTTGCTGTTATTTGTTTTGCTGTCATTTAGTGACTGGCTGGCCTGAAGCTTTCACTTCACAGATCTTAAAGGCCTGCAACATGATGTCTCAGTTCAAAAGTCCGTGTTAATACCACAGAAATGGTTACTTCCCCATAACCAGTAAAATCCAGACAGAATGCCAAAAGCATTCCTTCCCATCTTATTACCCTTGCATCCTTCTACAAGCAATAGTATGTGAGCCTAGCCTGCAGCTTCCTCAGAGCAAAAGCTCTTGCCTTGCAGGATCAACTTAAAACTCTGACAGGAATCTCTAGGACGCACCAGCCTGATTTCACTTGAGTAAATGATTGCCTGTTGGGCCTTCTCCTTGATTGCTAATGAGGTAACACTAAGCTCTTGCATGGAAACAATTCTGTATTATCAAGGAAAAATGAATGTGTCAGAAGCGGTCCGTTTAGGATTTCCTAGTATCATCTCAAACACAGGAGATTCTTGCCAAATAAACATCTGCTTGTTCAGCAAACACTTGAAACCTCCAATTTCCCGCTTTTGAGTTCAATCAGGGAGGATGTGAATCCCAGAGGTTGAGCTGGAGTCTAGGGACCAAAGAGCTCCTTCACACAAAGTACCTGGCGCCTCCATACCACTATCCCATCAGGATGGCCTGCTTGAGGGTTTTTAATAGCCCAGTGCATCCGGCCTCTGAGCCGCTGAAAACCCCCGAGTCATCATGGTGCCTTCCGGTGAGGGAGGTGGGAGAGGTTTCCGAGGGAGGAGACTGCACTGGAGCTGGCCACCTAGGAAGCTCAACTTGCAGTTATTGGCAGCTCTATTTTCACCCACATAAATGTCTTAGCTCAAAAAAACAAAAGCTCAGTATGACCCCTCCAACAGTTCTAATGCGTTTTAAACCCACAAACTATAGCCCATTTGCTAGAAGGAAGGTGGGGAACTTGTGGTAGGGCTTAATTTATGTCTCCACCAAAGATTCACCCTCTGGCATACCCCGGGTCTTGGGGGGGCTTCCTTAAATCTGTGTTTGGGGCAATGGCCCAGCAAGACTCCGCTGGTTCGCAAGTCCTATCAGATAAGAGGACTATCAAATCAACTAGTTTAAGCTTTAACTGTCTGTGCAGTCCCCAGCTACGTAAATGCATGTAACATTGACAATGGCAGGGAGGGAGGAGACAAAGATGTGCCCCCTACCCCACCCAGCTACAAGGTCAGAGACAAGAAAGCGGAAATAGAGTCTTAAGCAAAAAGATGAACCCTCCCTCACCCCCTCCTCCAACCCCAATAAAAGCAGCTCATTCCAGTAGCTAAAATCCAATGTGTTTCCGTTGAGGGGGATGCAAGGGTTGAAGAATCTCGTCCACAGGAAACCTAGCTGGTGGCGGTGGAGGAAAGAAATCTATTGTTTTCTGGTGGATCGCGCCCCCCTCTGGCCCCTCCATTAGGTAGCAAGATGGGAAACCTGAGAACCAAACAATTGATGGGCGAGCACCGGCCACGCCTTGGCGGGGGTTAAGGAAGGCGCCGCCGGACAGTACTAAGATGAATTTTTGAGTAGGAAGAAAGATCTCCCTTGGAGAAGCGTGATGATAGATTTGGGGCGCCGCCTCGCTTGCAAAACTGAAGGCGATCCTGGGTAAATGCGCAGGAAAGTAACAAGGGCCGCGACCCCCGCCTCCCCCAAGTGTCAGTGCCACCCAACTGCCACCGCCTCCCTCTCGCCGAAGCTCACCCCGATTCCCGTTGATGGAGGGAGCTGGCCTTGCCCCATGGTCGGGGCGTGCAACCGGGCGTCTACCCGGCCCTGCAAGCCTCCCCTGGGTGGAGGGGAGCAATGCGGGGAGAGGGGGTTCCCGCGTACCCCGGACCCCACGTCCTACCTGCGCGGTGAGGGGAAACAGCAACAGCAGCGCGCAGACGGGCGCAGGCACCGAACCGAGCGCCTCCTCCTCCAGCCCCAAGACGTCGGCGAAGCGCCACTGGCCGGCGACCCCCAAGCGGGCCAGCACCTGCGGAGAGAGGAGAACCCCCCCACGACGGGAGCAGACACTGCTGGAGGGCGGGGCCGTCCCGCACACCCCCCGCCCAGCCTGATAGGCGCGATGACACAGCACAAAGCCCGGCCCCACGTGGCTCCCACGAAGCCTGGGTACCAGACACCGCGCCGCCGCGCCACGCCCTCGGGAGCTCGGCCGCGCACCCGAGCTCGGCCCGGGCTGGGTCTCGCAGTCACCTCCCCACTCCGGGGGGGCGCGCGGGGAGTGGGTGGGGGGGATGCGTAGGAAACGGGGAGCCCACCCCCTCGACCCCCAGATCGCGCCCCAGCGCAGGACGCCGCTCGGGTTCACAGTCAAACCGCGGGAGCCGGGAGGGTTTTTTGCATCCTCCTGGGGGAAGGAGACAGACTGGGCGAGACGCCACTCACTTTGTTCAGCATCTGAAAAGCGAAGGCAAACAATAAAGAGAATAAAAACACACAAAGCACACATATCAAAGCCGTTTGGAGAGCGGCAGCCCCGTGCTCCCCGGGGCCACGGCGCCCAGGCGCTCACCTCGGGGTTGATCTCCATGGGTTTGAGCTGCATCTTGGCGACAGGAGCAGGCACCGGCCACCGAAGAGGAAAAACAGCAAAGCGGAGCCGCCCAGGCTGCAGCTATAAAGCGCCGGCCGGGCGCACTCGGGGTGCCTGCGCAGGGGGAGCAGGGGCAAAAGCTTGCGAGTGGGAAACGGTGCGTCGCAGCCAAGTGGGCACGAACGCCCCCGTGGTGCGGCGCCGAGTGGTACGGCCGGGCCCCCAAACCTTGCAGTCTCACTTGAGGCTGAGATAATCTGGAGGTAGCGAGGATGGGCTGGGTGGGTCGAGTGTGGGTTCCCGGAACGGTCTTTTGGAGGGAGGCTTTCCTATTCTGCCAAGTTTCTGGAAACCCACCGTTTTGACCATCCTCGGTTACCTAAGCCTCAGAGCCTGAGAAGCTTTATAGGGGGGAAAAAAAAACAAATTCAACAGGTACACGTTTCATATGACTATAAATAGGCCTCCCCAACCTCGCAGCTCTTGCTTGGCATTAGACTTTAGACAATTCAGCCTCCATGTTAAATCAGACCCGTTGCCAAGCTGCGTTTTTGTTTTTTTTTAATGCCTGCCCAGAAGAAAACTGGCTGGAATGTAATACAGGTTGCGTTGGAAATGCTGATGTAATGTGACTCCCAAGGAAGAATGGGTCCGTGATGGGGAAGCAGAGAATCCCACAATACTACTTGCCCAAGAAGATGGGCGGCCGAGAATTTTAGGGAACGGATGTAGGTGTAATCCCGAAATGAGAGCAGTGAAAGGAAAAATGTATTCCCAAACGGGAAATAACATTCTGAATTCGCAGCAGAGTATCCCTTGTGAAGAAGAAAGGGAGTTGCAACTGAAAGAAGCCACCGGTTTCTAATGCTCTCCGGTGAGTTTTTATTTATTTTTTTCCTTTACATCAGCACATTTGGAAGATGGAGAGAAAGCATCCGTGGAAGGTTACATTAAAACAGAACGAATCTGAAGAAGAGGGCTGGGAAAGCTAAACCTTAGACTGAAGTGGGGCTTGCCAGAGCCTTAGGAACTAGGCAGATTGGATAGTTTTAAATATGCTCAGAACAAGATGGTGATGGAGAAAGAATAAATGTACTGATAAGGAAGTCCAAAGCAAATTAATGTGGGGGGGGAATCTACATTTTGTGACCAGATTTCTACAGGATTTTAGAGCTTTTGCATGTCATCTCATTTCATCATTGAAAGCTCCAATGAAAAAACTTCTTAATGTTGTAGTTTTAAAGAACAGGATCCAGAACTTAAAGGGGTTCATTTGTTTCCCATCACAATTGAGAAGTAAAATTGAGAGGCCAAATCATGGCATATTGGCCCCCAAGAGTCTGTTCTCTATCTCAGATTTCACTTCCATTTTCTTCCCATTTTTTTTATATCAGAAAAGGAAGAAAGGTCGAAGGGAACCTCCAACAGAAAATGAAAAAGAGAGAAAAACCTTAGCAAAAACACAGATTTCAATGGGTAAATCTGAGCATGTAAATTGTCTCAATAAAGTTGGGAAGGGGTTGGTTTCTAAGTCAAATTAGGTAAGTAGGGCTGGGGAAAAAAGCCCATAGGGCTGGAGCGCACACTTGGCATATGGGAGCCCTGAGTTCTCTCTCTGCCACCACATGGGCCCCCAAATACTGAAATTGGAGGATTCCCAGAGGGATCAACTGGTGTGATCCCAAAAACAACAAAATAAACAGAAAGTGAAGCAGCACCCGACTTGCCTTCAACCAGACTTTACATTCCAATTTACTGGATTTATTTAACAAATACTGAATACCTACTATGTGATTGTCACTAAATTTGAAACCGGGAATACAAAGATAAACACAGAATTAACACAGAAATTTCCCTCATGAAGGTTTGCAGAGGGCCTCCCTGGTGGGACACAGGTGGCTCCAGGGGCTGCTCCTGGGTCTGATGGTTCAGTGCTAAGATCCAACAATTCAAGGCTTCAAGACCAGTGGTGCTGGGGACCAGCTGGGCTACTTTCAGGTGTCTGGTCTTAAGGAATCAACTCAGGGCCTCAAGCATGCTAGGCATGCGCTCTAGTCCTTGATCTATCTCCCAAGCCCTAAATCATGGAGCTATGGGCCATTTTCTGAGTGGTGTGGGACTAATTCTAGGGATAGTTTGTGCTAAGTGCATGGTTTAAATGTGGGACGCCCAGGTTCCATCCTCAGGAGCAGATGGTCCCTGCCTCCAAGCCAGGAATATCCCTGAACACTGTAGGGCATGGCACAAAAAGAATACTCTGGTGTGAATGAGAGCAGAGGTCAGGATCACTTTGTCAAGTGCAGGACTTTAGTTAAGCTTTGCAAAATCAAGGGTGTTTCATTAAGGGCTGATGGAAGGGCAGAAGGGAGCAGGTGATGATTGTTACCAAGATCAACAATAAACATCAGGAAGACAATGTGAGAAAGCTGTGATAGTGGCCACCACGTATCCATTCAATAAATCTCTCTAATAAGGGCCTACTGTATGCAGGGAAGCAAACAAAAACCTTTATGATTGTTTATATGGCAGATAGTAGGAAATGTAGCTCTTGAATTTCTATCTCAGTAAAAAGGTTACAAGCGATTCTGGGATCTGTGCAGATCTATCAGTGTGGCTGAGATGGCCTCCACTTGTTGCTCTGCCTCAGCTTTTATCTCCAGCTGGGACAACAGTAATCAGTTCACAAATTGAGGCTGTCTCAGCCTTTTCATTTTACTTATTATTTACTTATTTATTGTGCCACACCTGAAGATGCTCAGGGGTTACTCCTGGCTCTTCACCCAGGAATCACTCCTCAGAGGGCCATATGGGATGTTGAAGATTGAATCTGAGATGACCGAATCTAAGTCCAGCATCTTACCTGCTGTACTATCTCTCTGGCCCTTATTTTGTTTTCAGATTTATTTTTAAGTTAATGGCATTTATATTTATATGCATTTCTTATTTACATGCATTTAAGTGCATTTAAATGCATATATTTACATGCACTTCTTATTTAAATGTATTTATGTGCATTTCTTATTTATGCATTTCTTATTTATCTTTTGGGGTGTATGGGTGTGTGTGGTGTGTGTGTACACATGATCATGGTCAGGAAGCATTCCTGGTTCTGCTTGGGAGCTGCTCCTTGCAGTGCTCAGGGGACTGTGTAGTGCTGGCATCAAACCCAGGGCTCTCGCATGCAAAGTATGAATTTTCCCACTGATCTATCCCTTTGGTCACATTTATATGCACTTTAGATTTAGTTTTACTTTATTTTGCTTTCTGGACACACCTGACTATACTCAGGGATTCCTTTTGGTAGTGCTCAGGGAACCATATGCAGTGCCCAGGATCAAATTCAAATCAGTGTCGGCCACATGCAAGGCAGACAGCTTATTCCTTGAATATCTTTCTGTCCCAGTACATGATCTTATAACTGCCTTTCTTGGTTTAAGATTAATTTTTTCCCTTGAAAAGGATTTTCCAGAACTTGGAAATATATTTTATGTGAAAAATATTGAGTATTTGCTAATCCCATCAAGCTTTTCATCTTTCATGCCTGCCCACATCTGAGACATCAGAAGGGATGTGTAGGAATCAGGCAGCTCCCAGCACAGGAGGAGGTGCTAGCGCCCAGGCATGAACCTGACCTTTAAGAAACTGCAACCCTGGACACAGCTCAGAAGAGCACTTGCTTTACATGTGTGAGATGGTGGGTTCAATCCCCGGCACCCGAAACACATAAATTAAAAACAAAACCGAGATTGCCTAGCACGCTGTGAACCCAGGTTTGATACCTAACACCATATATGCCCCTCCCCCACACTCCTGTTCACAGGAGCAATCCCTGAGCACAGAGTACAGAGCCAGGAGGATTCCCTGAGCACTGTTGGATGTGACCCAAAAAATCCAATAAATAGATTAAATTCAAAAAATATAAAAATAAAGAAATAAAAATAAAACCCAGGCTGAAACTGTGCCCGAGGAGATGTAATATCAGTCCTGAGCCAAGTTCTAAGGACTCTCCATTTGTGAACTCTTAGAAAAATAGGAGAGTGCTTAGACACACTGGTGCCAGCCGCCTGCTCCTTGGGAGGTTGTGCTCTTCCTCATGCTGCTTCGATTGGTGTCAATCAACATGCTAATTGCGGGGGTGTTCAATATTCTCATTGTGGGGACTTTTTTTTGATTATTTACTTTTGCAGGGTGGAGAGGATCTCTCAAGTGGGACTCAGGAGTTGGGGGAGGGGATGCTTCCTGGCAGTTCCTGACCAGCCTGGCAGGTGTTCAGTGCTAGGGTCAGAGGATGCATTGTGCTGGGATATCACAGCCACCACCAATGCTGTTTGCCAAGTGTGTCTTACCCCCCGTGTTAGCATTCCAGACCCTGTTGCTGAATTGGGGGGAGGGGAGTAGGGGGGAGGCACACCCAGCATTATTGGGTCATTGATGGTGTTGGGTGATGACTGAGAGCTGCTCTGATTCTGAAATAGCAGATTCAGATACTCCCAGTGCTCAGGGGACTATCTAGCCTCCTACATGCAGATCACGTGCTCCTCTGACTATTGAGTCCCAACCCACCATCTCTTGGGTGGTGGGGTAGGTTTGTGGTTTCCGCAATAAGCCACATGTTCCCACCCCCCCCCAGCCCCCACCTCCAAAGGACGAACTTTTCTAAAAATTAACATGTCAAGTAGATATTGGGAAGACCTGACTTTGGGAGCAGTACCTGAGAAAAAGATGCAAATATTTTTGTTTCTCATTTGAATTTAAAGCTAACAAAGTCTCCAGCTGTCCTGCCAGGAGTGAGAGATTCCATTTCATTTTAATCATCTTGGCTTCCAAGACTCAGAAGGGCCCAGAGCACAGAGGAGGGAAAATGCTGCGACTTGAGCAGTGATACCTGCTCTACCTAAGGAGAAGGGAATGGCAGCAGTAACCAGCGATTTGCTCTCTTGCTAGACTGATGTAATATTCATTAATCAGTAAGGAAATTCTACCCACTGAATTGACTGGCATATAACTGGATTATGACATCCAGTGCC